TGTTATTCCTTTGTCGTTGGATTGTCAGTCACCGTTTTCAACAGGTACGGCTCGAAACCCTCGAGTAACTGGCGCGCGCGGATTCGCGACTGCGACATTTCTCTCTCGGTGCTTTGTTGGGAGTTTGTCGACGGCCGAGCTGCTGTGCTTTGCATTCTGACGGTTAAATACACGACTGACACTGCGTATGATCGAGATACGTTAACGAAGTTTAGGTCCTCTTAGCATTTAATAACTGAAAGCTATCAAACGTTTCGGTCCCATACACGAATGATACGTAACAGTTATTTAAATATTAACCCTTTGCACCCCTTATGTCGAGTGTGACTCGACATCAATTTTTATCTCAGAAGCTCCTTCGTCAAGTCCCACTCGACATTTTTTCAAGTCCAAACAAAAGAGATATCGTACACTTGAAAATTGCAAAATACAACAACAGTGTAAATAAAACAGATATTCCAACAGGAAAATTTCAAATAAAACACTTAAAAGCGTTGGGAGCTGCTGGTAACAAAATTGAAATATAATTCGGAGTGCAAGGGGTTAAGGAAAACAACGTTCTGTAAAAAATTAAACATTTCTCGATTACAAAAATTCTAATATACGATTTGGTTTGCTCTCTGAAACACACAAATTTGAACGTTAGAACAAAGCAAATATAGCTTCGTTTGTAAGAACAATTTGATCAACGTTTCGATCTTTTGATAGCATTTGGAAGTTCTATATATTTCCCATTTTGATATTTATTCTGTTAAATATATAAGTTTGGTCCTTTTATGTTTTACCGAATTCTGTCTTTCTTTTGTGTTTGAAAAGCTTACATTCTATTTTTAAATTCGCTACTGCAATATGAAAGTTGAGGAAATCACATGTGCCTGAACGTGTTCATCTTTTATTACGAGCCACATGTATAAATTTCGTTAGAAAGATTCCCTTTATCATTTACGATCCTTTAAAAGTAACAATTCTTATGCATACTATCTTATCCATCGATAGAATGGGCACACCTTGCACTGTATTTCGTTTAAACGTCTAAACTTCTTAAGGCATTTGTGAGAAACATGCGTTTCTAGAACGATCGATATTGTGGGGCACTCCTGGCCCTACGTGTATTGCGCATGCGTAAACAAGCGAGCGAGAGAAACGCGGAGCTGCGCATGCGTTGCTTGGCGTCTGTCTGTCGCAGTACGAAGGCTGACGGAAGCACGTCTGTTATCTTTGTTGAAATATAGTTTTGGTTATTTGTTGTTGAAGTAATTTGCAATTTAACTACCGATTCCAAATCCTGATCCAACCTCACCTCAGTATAATTTTGACAGTACTTTGTTCGTAAAAATGAAGAAATAAATTTAAGAAAAATGTGCAACCTACTGTTAAATATGGTAAAGTATGTGTTCGAGTTTGAAACTTTTTCTTTTGTTATGTATATACAGGGTGTTCGGCCACCCATGGGAAAAATTTTAATGGGTGATTCTAGAGGCTAAAATAAGACGAAAATCAAGAATACCAATTTGTTGGTGGAGGCTTCGTTAAAAAGTTATTAACGTTTAAAGTTCCGTTCGTACTGAATTCTTTTCTCGAAAATGCGCAGGATTTCGAGGATATGCCCATTGACCAAAAATGATTGTAATTGACCCCTGCAATTGAAAATAATTTTTTCAGAGTGATTTGAAATTTTCAATTTAATTATTAATAACTTTTTAACGAAGCCTCCATCAACAAATTGGTATTCTTGATTTTCGTCTTATTTTGGCCTCTAGAATCTCCCATTAAAATTTCAATCGTTACAAAATTGATACATATTCATTATAGGAAAAAGGCGCGATTACTCCCTTTCGCCTCTTTTAAGCGCACTATTGAATTTTTCTTATTTTACTCGTTAAACATGCTTCTACTCTTTTATCTAGCAACTATGTTATCCGAGGTAATTAGAGCGCGGCGGTTCGGTGATTAAATATGTAGATTGTTTAAGCAGAATGGTGTTCGTACCGTCTTACGATATTTCGCCGCGTACGCTGTATAAGAAATTCCTTTTTAGTCGCCGTAATTTCTGCGTAGAATACAAAAGTTATCCAAACGTTTGCCTCGCGGCCATCGAGATGGAACAGTTACGAAACGTACAAATCAGGGAAAATAAATTTTATGACGTTAGTGACTCTTTTTTCGCCTTTGTGCGCGCTCTTTTTCTTTATTTCTTTACCTCGAAAGATGAACTCCATTTTAAACCGCGTTGAATAAACCGCGCCTCTGCCAATAATAAATTTCTTATCCGCTGTAGGAGATGAATCGATTAGAATAAACGTAGAAGGAGGATTTACAAGATCGTGTAGACAAAGATTATGAATTTTTTTTTAACGGAACAATAGGTCAATTCGTCTAGAAATATTCGGTCGTTGCCGGATTTAATGAGTTTCAGACAATAGAAATTCTTTATTGTGCGATGAATGAATTTGTTTGAAAAGCGGAGATATTAAAACCACGCAAATAGAATAAGAAAGATACGAATTAATAAGCATTTCGCGGAACGAATCACTGTAAAACTTCGTTTTGTTCTTTCAATCTCCATATTCTGAAACAAAAAGTGTGCAGAAGAACAAATTTTTATTGTTTCGAGAGCTCGTTCCTTTTAACGAAGAAATTGTATAAATTAACAGACGCTACATAAATGATAGTATTCGTGGATTGTTCGTCTTTTCCACGAAGGTAAAGAAACATATTTAACATAAAATAATACATATGCATCGCTATCTCTTGAGAACTTAAAAAGCGATGCATCATTCATGGACGTTGCACCTTAAATTCAAAAGATGCAATTTGAATTTCAAATCGAAGAGATACTTTGAAAAATGTTTCTGTTTATTGACGAATTTAATGCAACGTGGATGAAATACGTATGGGAAAATTTGGATTGGTCTCGAAATTTGCTATGAAACAAACCACCACATCCGAGGAATATGCGTTTGAAATGTTTAATTTAAAGATAAGGCAGGACGATGTATCTTTGAATACGATATTTAAAATAAATTATGAAGAGTTTCTAAAAGCACTCGGTATTTTTAAGTCTTTTTAAAATTCCATGTACTTTAACAGTGAGAAGATAGCAGCCATTTTAGGCAATTATCGTGACACTTGTTTTATTGGTTTTTTATGTATCATTATATATTTTATTGCAGACTGTGCAGTTAGTATTTAGTTTAAAACAATATTCTAACATATTACTTTAGTTTTTAAAGGATCAGCTAGATCTACGTTAATTTTTCGTGTTTATATTCGATGACTGACGTTATTTCAACTTTCGATACATGTTAGAGTATTTAGTAATTTTAACGTACGGATAGTAATTATATGCGTATAATTCTGAATATCTTTTGGCGAATAGATGATGTCGCAGATGGAATAGTTAGGCGTGGAAGCAATTCTCGTTGCATATTTTAACCTCAAGAGCCTCCCCCTTTGTTCAGGTGTTGTTTCTTTCAGTTTCAAACAGAATACCGTACACAGGATTTGTGCAGCTACTGTCACCAATAATCCATGCTGTTGCACTTTATATTAGGTTCGTCCTCATTGTTCTATAACGCTATACCGAAACTTAGTTTTTACTTGCAGTTGTCCAAGCCACAAAAGAAATCTTTCCAACGATACTTTGTCGGAAGAATTTCTAAATTTCTTCTTCGGTTATTATTTGTTAACCCTTTGCACTCCGAATTATATTCCAATTTTGTTACCAGCGGCTTCCAATACTTTTAATCACCCATTAAAATTTTTCCCATGGGTGGCCGAACACCCTGTATATACATAACAAAAGAAAAAGTTTCAAACCCGAACACTTCCTTTACCATATTTAACAGCAGGTTGTCCATTTTTTCTTAAATTTATTACATCCTTTTTACGAACAAAGTACTGTCAAAATCATACTGAGGCGAGGTTGGATCAGAATTTGGAATCGGTAGTTAAATTGCAAATTACTTCAACAACAAATAACCAAAACTATATTTCAACAAAGATAACAGACGTGCTTCCGTCAGCCATCGTACTGCGACAGACAGACGCCAAGCAACGCATGCGCAGCACCGCGTTTCTTTCGCTCACTTGTTTACGCATGCGCAATACACGTAGGGCCAGGAGAGTCCCACAATAACGACCGTTCTAGAAACGCATGTTTCTCACAAATGCCTTAAGAAGTTTAGACGTTTAAACGAAATACAGTGCAAGGTGTGTCCATTCTATCGATGGATAAGACAGTATGCATAAGAATTGATACTTTTAAATTATCGTAAATGATAAAGGGAATCTTTCTAATGAAATTTATACATGTGGCTCGTAATAAAAGATGAACACGTTCAGGCACACGTGATTTCCTCAACTTTCATATTGCAGTAGCGAATTTAAAAATAGAATGTAAGCTTTTCAAACACAATAGAAAGACAGAATTCGGTAAAACATAAAAGGACCAAACTTATATATTTAACAGAATAAATATAAAAATGGGAAATATATAGAACTTCCAAATTCTATCAAAAGATCGAAACGTTGATCAAATTGTTCTTACAAACGAAGCTATATTTGCTTTGTTCTAACGTTCAAATTTGTGTGTTTCAGAGAGCAAACCAAATCGTATATTAGAATTTTTGTAATCGAGAAATGTTTAATTTTTTACAGAACGTTGTTTTCCTTAACCCATTGCACTCCGTGTTATATTTCAATTTTGTTACCAGCAGCTCCCAACGCTTTTAAGTGTTTTATTGGAAATTTACCTGTTGGAATATCTGTTTTATTTACACTGTTGTATTTTGTAATTTTCAAGTGTACGATATCTCTTTGGTTTGGACTTGAAAAAATATCGAGTGGGACTCGGCGAAGGAGCTCCTGAGATAAAAATTGATGTCGAATCACACTCGAAATAGGAGTGCAAAGGGTTAATATGGGAAACGGTTCTTGTTCGATATATTCCAGAGTTTCTCTTTAATTTTACTCAATTCCACTCTGTTCTTGTGTTGCAGGCGTTATCAATAGAGGCGATTCTTTCCGAAGAAGAAGATCAAGGTCGAATTCCCTGGCACCTGCGGATCCAGAAAACGAGGAGAAGATCGCCGCACCTGCGAAAGAAGTCGCCTCCTACGCGGTCGCGATGTTGGGCGCCAGGGGCGTCGGGAAAACCGCCCTGATCAGCCAATTTATGACCAGTGAATGTATAAATGCGTACGACAGGCAAAGAGGTAAATGTAATTCTTAAAATAACTCTTGAAAATATCGCTACTTGTCATCGATCAAATCCAGCGCGTCATGAGCTTAAAAAGATTCTTCTTTTTCACGAAAACAATTCTATTCCCTGCTCGATAAAGTTTCGAACACGACTAGAAAATAGATATCAGTTTTCGAAAAAGATATCGAAGGTGTGGTTTAATCGGAATCGACGTCTCGAATTGAGATCGCCACAGTCTTTAGGTCGGTTGGAAGTGATTCTGATTGCACGACGGAGTTTCATGGCGCAATACGTTCGCGGATTAGCCCCAGAGCTGGTTCATATTCAGCTTTTGTAACCTCCGTCGTAGTCGCTGGTCTCTCGAACCTCTAAAGACCTAGTTTCCGCTCGATTCTCTATTGAATTACAAACAGAAGGTCGCGAGTCATTCGACAGATTCATTCGTTTAATTGTCTTTGGCTAGCAGCGTGTCTCGATTCATTCCATGTTACTTCCACCCTGCGTTTTTTCCTCTGACTGCTCATTATCATCAGTGCATCGTTCGTTTGCACTTTGTAAATAAATCGTGAGCACTTTTCTCTCGTCTCTCGAATAATTAACCAAAGACGAGGCAAGAACCAATCAAGTGTAAGGTATGTTCATTGGGTCGTTGCATACGAAATGGCTGATTACATGAACACTCAAAGATTTTCTGCAATTTGGTGGCTAAAAAGTGCAGCCAGATTAAAATGATCACCATGTCTGCGACATCCTGATACGTCTTCCTCGAACGAAGAAGCTAGCTGAACCGGATGGCACCGTTTTACAGTACGTGCATTACTCATTCGAAAAGGAAACGTCAGGTCGACGGTATTGGCAGCCTAGATTTCCGTCTCCCGCAAGTAGAATGATATATGTCGGTTAATAAAGTCAAAGGTCGTACATAAATCGTCCACGGGCTGGAGAGCTCAATCTTGCAGGAATTAAAGAAGCCAACCGCGGCGGTTTGCTGCTCCCAACGAATTGTATCGCGTTCCTGGCGAGCGTCGCGACCCTTTTTCCTCGTTTCGCTCAATGCCCGTGGAAGAATTGCGAGGGCACAGGATGAAATAGTTGTTGGCTTTCGGGTTGCACGGATCGTAGTTTTATTTCAGGATTAAAACGGCGCAACGGATGCAATGAACAAGGAATCGAACAGCTATGTTACACGAAAGTTAATGCATTCGTTCATCTAACAGGTGTATTCAGGAGTCTCCGTGTTTTGCTTACGATGCAATAAAGGAACAGTATTGCTATTGGTCAAAATTTAATCCTTAAGAATGATACTGTATACAGGGTGTTCGGCCACCTCTAGCAAAAATTTTAATGAGCGATAGTAGAGGCCAAAATAAGACGAAAATCAAGAATACTAATTTGTTGATGGAAGCTTCGTTAAAAAGTTATTAACAATTAAATTCAAAAATTTCAAATCGTTCTGGAAAAATTATTTTCGGTTGCGGGGGTCAACTACAATCATTTTTGGTGAGTACACATACCTCCGAAATCCTATCTACTTTCGAGAAAAAAAATCGAGTAGGTGCTGAAATTTTTCGGCGAAAAAAAATTTTTCAAATCGTTCTAAAAAAATTATTTTCGGTTGCGGGGATCAATTACAATCATTTTTTATCATTACACATACCTCCAAAATCGTACGCACTTTCGAGAAAAAAATTCCTTACTGAAAATCCAATTAGGTGCCTAAATTTTTCAACGGAGAAAAAAAATTGCAAATCGTTGTGGAAAAATTATTTTCGGTTGCGGGGGTCAATTACAATCAGTTTTTGTCATTAGACATACCCACGAAATCCTGCCCACTTTCGAGAATAAAAATAGAGAAGGTGTGAAATTATTCGAGAAAATTAAAAAATTGCAAATCGTTGTGGAAAAATTATTTTCGGTTGTAGGGTTCAATTACAGTCATTATTGGTGAATAGACTTATCCCCGAAATCTTGCGCATTTTCGAGAAAAAAATTCAGTAAGGGCGGCACTTTAAACGTTAATAACTTTTTAACGAAGCTTCCATCAACAAATTGGTATTCTTGATTTTTGTCTTATTTTGGCCTCTACTATCGCTCATTAAAATTTTTGCTAGAGGTGGCCGAACACCCTGTATAAAGGGTATCTACGCTAAAGTGTGACACTCGCGATATTTCAGTAACTATTGACGATACGAAAAAATTGTTTACATGTAAATTGCAGGATAAAATGGGATCTCTATTTTGGCGTAAACGAAAATATTATTTATGTTATTAATATCAAAGATACGATGGTGAAGTTTCGTTTTTTAAAAGAAATTATATATTTTTTTCTGGATCATACGATAGTGCTTTTCAAGACGAATTCATTGAGCTACATTTTATTCACCCGATTTTTATTAGTTTTCAAGATATAACGCTTGAAAATTTACTGATTTTCAGCGGAAAAAATGGTCCTCGAACTGCAATCCCTCTTTCGAAGTTAATATCAATTCGTCTTTTCTTAATTGCTGCTGTTTGTAAGTTTTTCAAATGCAGATTTAAAGACAAACAGAAAAGTCTCATACATCTATAAGTAAAATGAAAGAATTTTCGCAGGTATCAATAAATATACATTAAACAGTATACGTATACGTATAGTATAAATATACGTTAAACAGTTTTCAAGATAAAAATTCCTAAGTAGAACCCATTTTTACGAAAGTCTTTGGAGGTTTGTATTTTTTAAATAAATTCGAAAGCAACAAAACGATGACTTAAACTACCCCTAATATCGTACGGTCTACATCATATTCGATTTTAAACAAAATTGGCACGAAACAATTGATATAAAAATGGTCCTCGAACTGCAATACCTCTTTCAAAGTTAATATCAATTCTTCTTTTCTTAATTGCTGCTGTTTGTAAGTTTTTCAAATGCAGATTTAAAGACAAACAGAAAAGTCTCATACATCTATAAGTAAAATGAAAGAATTTTCGCAGGTATCAATAAATATACATTAAACAGTATACGTATACGTATAGTATAAATATACGTTAAACAGTTTTCAAGATAAAAATTCCCAAGTAGAACCCATTTTTACGAAAGTCTTTGGAGGTTTGTATTTTTTAAATAAATTCGAAACCAACAAAACGATGACTTAAACTACCCCTAATATCGTACGGTCTACATCATATTCGATTTTAAACAAAATTGGCACGAAACAATTGATATAAAAATGGTCCTCGAACTGCAATACCTCTTTCAAAGTTAATATCAATTCTTCTTTTCTTAATTGCTGCTGTTTGTAAGTTTTTCATTTGCAGATTTAAAGACAAACTGAAAAGTCTCATACATCTATAATTAGATTTTCTAATTTTTTAAAGATTTCAATTTGCAGATATGTTCTTTCTTATTAAATTCGAGAAGCAGAGAATACCTGGTATGCATTTCTTTTTTTTTTTCGTTTATTTTTAACCGAGAAATATTAACACCGATATAACTGATTTTAACGACTGGTGAGAGACTAAGTATAAAGCATCGATGGATGTTTTATGATCTGATCTGGTAGGACTGTGTTTATGTATGTTTACATTAAGCCAAAAGTTCGAATATTTAAACAGTTATAAAATGGCCTGATAAAATTCTTGAAACACGCATGTAATCTTTTTTTAATTACACGTGTTCTTTTGTTACTTGCTGTACTATACATTGTTCGTTTCCTCAGTAGATAGATTAGATGCACATAAAATATTTTTAAACAAAAAGACAAAACAATCTATATAAAAAACAAAGGAAACAGGATACTGTGTTTACTTTTCAAGTGGACTGATTAATCACAATAGGTGTTCGAAGTATATTTTGTTTGTCAATTGTTGTTCTATAAATAGATTTTTCTTAATTAGAATTCTTAATTAGAAGGCAATTCTTAATTAGTTTTATTGTGGAGAGTTTTTCTCACAAGAGGAAACAGCAGGTTAGCATAGAATATTCATAGTAAATGACAAATGTTTAATAAAACAAAGTCTATGGTAAATAGGTGCACGAAATATGCGACACAAAGGGTGTCTAAAATCTTGCTCGTTATGTGATTAATTTTTAAGATATTTTTTTTTAGATATTCTTGTTGAATTTTTTAAAGATTTTTTTAAATGGAAAAGATTATCTTTGTTATAAAACATAATCTAAGATTAATATTAGTAGAACATACTCCAGCAGTGTGTTCTACAAGTAAAAATAAAACTAAAGTGTCATGTAACAAAAAAAATTCATAAATGCTTTGTTAGGAAATTGTACAAAAATATGAAATGTGATGTTTCTTTATTTACTAAAATTTTGTTTAAAGAGAGCAACTGCTAGTTGAACTAGTTAAACATTTATGTATCAGAGTTTCTATAATTTATCTTGGATGCTGAATTATTCTTTCTTCGATGATAACTTCTTGTTGTCATAAAATTTTGAACTATTGTTCGAGTTTATGTTCACTAAATTGGAAGGAAACTCACGATATCGAATGCTTGCAAAAGATTGATTTTTTTTCTTATTTTAATGCCCTGAATCTCAATCGAGTTTCACAGTTCATATTTCTGTTACAACTTCTTAACAAAGCATTTATGGATTTTTTGTTACGTAACACTTTAGTCTTAGTTTTACTTGTAGAAACTGTATTTTTGCTCTTTTGGAATGCTCGACAAATAAAAAAAAATCGATTCGTAATTTAAAAAAAGATTGATTCGCGCCAAAATCGGTCAAGAATCGAACGTTCTTAGTGCATAGTGATCGTGACATCTCTCGTTCGGTTGAACGTGCCACACGACTCGACATTGTCTTTCGTGACGCTGGTTCTGTAACAGCGCCCGTTGACGAAAATAAGCAAAATGGTTTATGGTTTTTGGCAGTTGTTTTGCCCGTACCGCGATTAAGAGCCATTGGCCAATGCGTGGGGCTATCTTGGTACCGTGAAAAACGCTACGTGGACTGCTAAATGCGTCCATAGATTTGACCCAGTGCAGGGAGGAAATCGGCTGTGCCGACCCATC